GCTGCCATCAAACTGGAAAAACCTACCACACTCAACATGATCTATTCCATTGATTATCTTGAAAGCCTGGATGAAATCGCCCTTATTTGTAGGCCTCCAAAACTGGATGCATTATTCCAACTGGGGTCTTATCAGCACCGCATAAAACAGAAGAATAATGCGCAAAGTCGTACTTGCAACTGACTGACGAATGTAACATAGAATCCTGTTGCCAATTGTTGTCAAGATTTGGTGCTGTTTTATTTAATTGAGTTTTATTTTGCTCCTTTATTCAGTGAGAATTTAACTTCTCTTGTATTGATGTGAGACACATTCTAAAATCTTGTTAACTCTTCCATCTCCATATATATCAAAGAATGGCATAATGGAATTCATTTCACTAATAAAAACTTAGGTTTATTGATTCTTTTCTTTTTTTAGACTTGACATCTGGGAGACAAATAAAACTGATGTATTCCTCGCTTAGAGAAAGGCTGTGGCTTCTCGGTGTCAGTATTATGCCCAGTCATATCCCCTCTGACAAGGACGCCCCTCTTTGATCCTGTTGGAGGCTTTTTGTCAGCTCATGGGTTACCTAGACCTATAACTGGCATGAGCAAATATTGTGGTGGACTATGCCCACATTTTCTTTGGATGGCATGTAATGACATGTAGTTATGTGTGTTATCCACAGATAGCTGACACTTTCTGTAAAGAAGGTAGGGGTCACCTGTAGGTGGAGTAGAATTCATTTTCACCAAACCCAATGCCATGCTTATCATGCAGTAATATCTTGAAAATATTCATCTGCATATCTCATAATTTTTTTTTAATGGTTTCTCAACTGTTGAGGCATTATGCTTGTCTTAGAGTAGTTTCCATCAGCTTCCATCTATGCCATGTACCTTTTCTTTAGACAGTATTCAAAATGAAGCAAATGTAAAGAATCTCATTCAGTTCTGATCCTCTATACACATTCATTTTTTCTTTATTGAAAATGTTGGTACCAAAGCATAGTTTGCAAACATTCCCATATTGAATTTGATTCATTCACCATGAATACAACTAGACCTCAACCTCAGTCTATATGGCCTTTTCATGGAAAAGATTAGGATTAGACTAGTTTACGTGAAAATTAGACAATGTTTGAAAGGAAGTAGACCTTATTTAGCAGATTGTTCTTTTGCATCTACCCAAGCTTGTAGAAAGCAAACATAGGAATTTCAAACCTTTAATCACAATTGTTTTTCCTTGAGTGTTCCAGGACAATTCTAGAAAAGAATCACTCCCATGCATTAAATCCTCTCCAAGCCAGTGTTTTTTTATGATTCGTGTTTGTTTCATTCACTTTTTTCATAGAATATCAAATGCAGAAATTGAGGCCTATGGATCCACCATCCTAATTGCTTATTCAGTTATGCTTCTATTTATTGTAAAACTATGAACACACTCACCAGTTCCTAATGTTGAGTTGACATGAATAAAAGTCATGTATACTCATTAATCACTGCATTAGACAAGGTTCCCTGGCAGACAATTTAGGTAAATAATGCCTGCCATGGATATAAGTGATATTTTCTGGGGTCAGGCCTTCTGGTAATGCTGATATTTCATTGACTGTTTTTTAATATGGCATGTAGGCTTGTAGCTCAATTGCATGTTGTAGGTTGTGAGAGTGCTTGTGCTTTGTACAGATTTAGACCTAAGGGGTAGTTAGGCCTTGATGTTTTGCTATATGATTCCTTTTTTCCTCTCAGGAAATCACTACAAAGGATTTACTGGCATAATCATATTGATGTTAGCTTTGATGCTGATTTTTATCTTTTTCCAGGCAGCATGCATATAAGTCAATAGTCACGTTTAGGCTGAGAGCCTCAGTGTGTCTCTTTTTCCTGCTGGTTTTTTATGGGTGATAAGTTGACAAATCCCCAGCAGCAGTATGTCTCGTGTCATGTATGACCTTGACACCTCCAAGGGCCTGATGCCTGTGAGTTTGATATTCAAGTTTTTTTTTCCTTGTTAACCACAAAACTGAGCCTGAGTTTATGATGTTTTTTACTTTGTAGCAAATCCAGGCCCTTATTGCTCCCCCTGGGAAAAGTTCCAGTCGCAGACCCAAAGAGGAGCCTCATCCCTATTTCCGAAGACCTGGGAGAGGACATAATCATGATAAGTGTGATGCATGTGGTGAAGGAGGTGATATCATCTGCTGTGACACCTGTCCTGCATCCTTTCATCTACAGTGCACGTAAGATTATGCTATTTGGTTCTCACAATACTCTGTACCATGTTTAGCTCTGCCAATTCAGAATGAATACGTTGTCTCTCCACCAATACATGAAATCTTGTGAATGTTCATCTTACAGGAATCCTCCTCTGGATGAGGACTGCATTCCCAAAGGGGAATGGATGTGTTCCAGATGCACTGTCATAGCTGTGAGTGCCATCGCCACATTTCTCCAAATTTGTTGGAAGTTTGACCAGAGTTTTAACATTTATTCATGATTTCATAGGACAAGGAGAAGAAAGGGGAGCCTATCTTTGTTTTGAAAGGAGGGAGGGTGATGACCAAGGATGAGGCTGCAAATAGAGTATCAGCCCCAACTTCCTCATTACGGAGGGAGCGACCATGTAGAAGTGCTAGAAATGGTGAGGACTTAGCATAACTTGGAGATGTTGCAGTGCATTTCTGTTACATGCAACATTTTACCTGTCAAAGTAGGGAGTGTAACTCCTAAACATTCCATTATGTTCCTCACTGCCTCTGCTCAGTATTTGACTTGTGTGTCTCTTTTAGGCTATTTTACTTGGAGTTCTTTTCTGATTTGACTGGTTTTAGCTGTGGAGTTTGTTTGATGATGGGTATAGAGGATCTTCTCTCCTGCAAAATCTGCTGTGTCACACAAAAATGACATCAAAATCATGGTAGACTCTTGTAACATCTATGGGTTAACCTATTTGGGATTGTCAACTATTGGAAGCTGGAGGCACCTGAGCTAGCTCTACTGGGTATATATATGCTATCTAACAAGGTAATATGGCAAAAGGGTGTTGTTCTGGAGCACTGGATTATTCTCACTAAAATATGGCTGTTTTTTGGTTTGAGGCTTTGAGTGGAATTTTAATTCCTGGTGACTTGTCAGATGCAGACCAATCATCCTTAATAGCATCAGAAGAACCATTGCATCAGTAATAGGCAGAGTCTTGGCAAACCAGTATAGGCTTTAAAAGAGATTTCCTTTTTTATATAATCATCTGAAACACATGTACATAAGTCCTTCAGATTTTGATTTCCTAGTTCTTAATGCTTTTCCTCATGAATGATGGGTATCAATTGCATGAATGTAGATCAATTTTTCTTTTGTAAATGACCATGAATTCATTGATGTAGAAGTTGAACTAGGCCACTCAGAGAAATTGTTTTAATAATTCTATGGGCTGGGCCACTGAAATGTTCCTGATTTCTATAAGCTATATATCATTGACTAAATACTTGGCAAAAAATGGTGTGGGCAGAACATCTGAAGGATTTATTATAATATCCTTTACAGTTGCAGGGTGTGCTCAAATAATCCTGCATGAAGATAAATGCACATGCACAGGCATGCTGGAAAATTATCTGTTGTCTTCTGTTAACATGCAATTCAAATTGGAGTTGTGGTGGTGACTTTGAGTTCAAAAATGACTTGTCCTTGCTTGATTTCTCTTTGTGGGGACATCCTAAGGCAGTTGCATGGAAGAGTTGTCCACAGAACTTTACTGAGTGCAGTGTTCTATACCACAAGAGCAATTTTGCAGTGGGATTTTTGACACACTCCAGAAAGCTGTTACTAGTTTCATGGGGTACCTGTGCATGTGCATTCAGCATCATGGTGGAAACATTGACAGTTGCTCTATCATCTGCTTTTTTCATGAAATATATTTATCTCTTTTAGTTAGCGAGATATTATTTAGATAATTAAAGTCATGTACAATGTGTTATGTTCTTGCACTGGTAATCATGTTTAACTGAAGTGTTCTGCACCCCTTCCTTTTGTTTCAGCAGCTGATGTGAACTCATGTAAGATGAGCAATGACACCAATCATGCCGGGAAGTCTGCTCAACCCAGTGAAAAGGTCAGCATGAAAAGAGCTGCTCCTCCAGAGAATGATCGTACTTCCTGTGCCCCTGTGGCCAAAATGGCCAAGGTGAACAATCTCTCCTTCATCCCCTCTGGGAAAGCCAACTCTGTTCCCAGTGAACCTGGCAAATCCAAGTCCACAAAACAGAAGCCTGCTGAAGTTGAGGTCAAGCCATGTCAAAGGACAGTAAAGATTGTTCAGTTTGAGGAAAATCATGAAAGATACATTGGTCAGGGGATTCGTAAAATAAGACCAGCACTGAATTGTCTTCTTCGATTTGTGAAACACATGGCCAAATCAGATTTTGATCTTCCACATGAGATACTTGAAAGTGTTCCAACACGACGGCGGCGGCTCATGATCGTCAAAGAGTGCATCACCTCTGATGAAAAGTCTTCTGAAAATCTTCTGGATCTGAAGTGCATTTCCCCTTCAACAGAGGATGCTCCTGTTGAGCCCAAGAAGCGGGAAAAAGAACCCAAGAACATTTCTTTGTGTAATGGAGAGGACACAAAGCATGATTCAGATGTCACAGTGTCCCAGTGCAAGGTGCATCTGTCAATCTTGACCCTGGAAAGGACTGCAAAAAGAAATGATCTCTTGGAGACACCTTCTGATTCCCCCTCAAGTTCACTTGAAACCAATGATGAAGAATCTATGAGCTCAAATGCCATGCAAGAAGATAGCAAGAAAGAATTGAGTGTCATGAATGTCCTCATGGATGTTATTGAGAGTGTAGTGGAATCTTGTGAGAATGACAGGAGTGAACGGTCATCCCCTCGTCCATTTGAGGAATGGGATAGGTCCACACTTTCTGAGATGAGCGACCTAGTAATGGAATCTCATGATGACTTGCTTGAGGATGAGGAAGAAGATGAGTTGATGGCACAAGACTCAACCTTTAGGGAAGAGCTGGACTTGGTCCTGGAAGACCTAAAGGATGTGCCTAATGTGACTGATGATGTGAACAAGATATGTGGTGTTGCACAGCAGTTCAATCCCTCAAACTACAATCTCCCCAAGAGTCTACTGCCAAATATGCATTTCCCTGGTGAGAAACCTGTTTTTATCCATCTGACCTTTAGTCTTCCTGTTCCCCAAAAAATTCTGCTTTGTGAATGAGTGCGCTAACATTCATTGTATTAATTGCTCAGTCTTTCTACTATTGATTATGTATTCTGTTGGCTCCCTAATTAGTTGACAAGAATTAAGTTTAAAATGACAAGTTACTTGTATAAATTTTGCTTGAGACAGGCATGAGTCTTCTGAGAGCTTACCAATATTGAGTTGCTGAATATAACATGGCATGAAAAGTATGAAAAGCCATTAGTCTATGCCTAAAAATTCTGGAAGTCTGTTTTTCATGCATAAGAACTGACTAAACATGATTGTTCACCTTTGCAATTTTGGAGAAATTATTTTTCTCTTCCATCAGTTCTTTTGGTCCAGTAGTGAAACTGAAAAATTGAAGAGTTGAAAATATAACGAAGTTACCCTGATAGTTACCAAGCAGTATTGACTGTTTTTGTATTTTTTTGCCTTTCCCTATTATGTCCCCAGGTTCTTGAGTTTACAGTTACAGGCTCTATGCAAAAAAAAAGCAACAGTGAATTTGACCTTTTCTGTTTTCTCTGTTTTGTTATGTACCTTTATCTGATGGATTTAAATCTCCTACATAAGCACCGACAGCCAGGTATTTTCTACGGAGCTTGCAAACACTTGCTAACTGAGCAATTTTTCACTTAATATCAGAGGATTCATCCAAAAGGTTGCAGTACAGCATTTGTACCTTTAGGTCTTGGAAAAATTCACTGTGGTACAGCAGTCGTGACATTCATCCGATGAAGGTTAATGTACAAGTAAATGTACACACATACAATAAACATTAACCCTCCCTTGCTGTCAGGGGTCTTTTTAAAATTAATCTTTAAATTTCTTTTCAGGATTAAAATCAATCCATTTTGGAACCAACCATAGAATAATTGAACATGAAGGTATATGTACAAACTTGTGATCTGTGTAATCCATCCATTCTTGCCAGCATGCATCCATATTAGTGTGATTGCAAGAACTACAACTAATAGTCTAATATTACCTAGCAAATTTCTACCCTGTTATGATAAGGTAAGATGGGCTGTCAGGCATATAAGTTCACTACCCAAGAATGTGCCTTTGTATTCCAGATATACTCCCTCATTTCAATCCCACTCATTACCTGACCTGAGAGCTGATTAGTCTCTAACATTTGGTGACTCAATTTGGTCCTAGTGGTTACTTTGGGATGTGCTACCTGGTTTCAGCCTTTACCATTGGAAGTGGGGGTGTTCACCCCCTCTCCATGCCTCTTTGTGATATAATCTAGGCAACCCTCCTGACAGGGTCAATATAATTAATTTGGGTTCTGACTGGTTCATCACCAATCCAACTGGCTTCTTTCACAGCTAGTTAGTGAGGATAGATGATTCCACTGGGAACTAGAATCCAAGAAGCAGTTGATGCAATAGTGGCATGAAGACTATCCACTAACACTAAAGTTTAAGACTTGAGTCTCAGCTGCCCATATGATGGCAATGATTTTTTCAGACATGAACGGGATCAGGTGGTATGGTGGGTATGCAGGATAGTTATGGCTTAGTAATATGCTCCACTACTGAAGAAATAGTGCAAATCCATCTGGAAAAAAATACCAAAGAAAGTTGATGAATGAGGTCTTCATTTCACGACATTGCATGAGACCCGTGCATTGTTGTCATTTCATTCAGCAAGTAATTGGATATTTCCTGGAAAAGGGAAGGGAAAAGGCATGTTCCCATTTTCCTCTTGTGGTATGGGACAAGGCCGGAGTGAAAACCTATAGGGAGCAGGACTGAAACTCATCAAGAGACCAAACAGAAATCCAAGAATCCAATAAGAGAGGGGGGAAGCCTGGCAAGAAAAAACTGGGAGCAGGATATAGAATTTCTCATTTTCCCTATCTACACAGGAAACTAAAAAATGGAGATAGTATTTTTTCGGAAAGAGAAAGAATATAGGGCCACACCTGCCCTTTATTTTTCTATGGTGAGAACTTCCCAATGCCTTGCCTCAGAGGTACCATTTATTTTGCAACTAGACTGAGATGGGGTATGTATCATAGATGTTAATTGAAAGAGCAAATGTTAAGTTACTGGTTAGAAAAGATTGGTAGGTTTTACTTTGGGACCCCTAGTTTGAAATCAGGAAGGATGTGATCATACTTCACACAAGACTGTCTTGCCTGATAAAGCAACTGATACTCGAACTACTACTTAAAAGTAGACATGCCTGCATGAGCTATTCCTTCAGATACTGACTTAATGCACTCTGCTTCATGATAAAAAATAAAAGCCTTCAGGGAACTAAATGTATGAGAAACTTAAACTTTTATGATTCCAATGCTAGAGGTAGCTTGGGTCACCATGCTCTACTGGGCAAGTCATCAGGACATTTATTGAAGTAGACCTTGATATCTCTTAGGTCAGCAAGTTGCCTTAGTAAGTATTAAGTATGCTTGTCATTTCTCCATAAGAGTGTCAAAGTGACTATATGGCTTAAATGCTGAAACTTCCTTAGTTAACAGTCCTTTCAGAATCTATGGATATGGATAAGAAAAAAGAGTTATTTAGCTGAAAGACCCTTCATCTTGCCTAAATGATGTTTCATCCTTTAGTTTCTACAGAGTATGCATATAATGAAAGAAGGTTCAAGTTGTTCTTGAGTCATCTTATTCCTTTAGTTTGTGAGAGTGCAATTCATGGAGCAACCAAGGTTTTGTATTCAGTATTATTCTCAGTAACCTTCTGCTTTTCAGAATTGCTATGATGACATGTGGTCAGCCAATGAACCTCATACTTCAAATTCATAATTTTTTTGCTTGCTCTGAAAAACTAGGAACTGATGAGGTGCTCTCTAAAAACTCCCGGGCTGGAGGTGGATTGCGAAATGTGCTGGAGGTTGACAACAAGGGCCTGGTGCCCTTGCCAGCCAGGCTCTGCTTCATTTGTCACAGGTCAGTCCTTGCCATTATTTTCAATTCCAGGTCAGTCCTTACCATATTTATATTTATCATTTGAAATTGTACTTGAGACATTAGAATTCAGTTGCTCTTAGTTGCCCCTTCAGCATTGATGGTAGTTAATTTTTTATTTTAATAGAGGAAAAATGTTTGTTTTTTTAAATAGTAAATAGGGACTTAAATATGAGACATCAATGAGAAGGAATGCAATGTGATTATGAAGTGTGTTAGTGAGTACAACATTCTAGAATAAATATCATTAACCCTGACTTGCACTAATGGCAATGTGTGCTACTGCTTATCCTTGTGCACCTTCAAACACATTACTGTTAATCATGACTCTTGTATAGACAGCACTCAGACATTCATGAAAGGGTTCATCAGTTGATATCAGACTTTGTTTTTCAAGTATCTAAGCTCACATATGTCTCAGCAATCAGTTTTTGATCGTGAGATTGATGTAGGTATTTCCCATATTTTGCATTTCTTGCATTGAATATAATCAACTTTTTTTTTACTCAGGAGTACAATTGTATGTATTATGTAAATCTTAAGAATTCTTTATAGTTTTGGACAATTTTGAAAACATTCTATCTGTACCTAAGGCTCCATTAGTTGGTCTGTCATTCAATTGCTTCCATAGTAACTGTGTGAAGTGAATTTTGTTGTCTATATTCTGTTATCTTTGTAGGAGCTGTCGCAAAAGTCCCCTGGTGGCATGTGACTACTGCCCCCTCCTCTTTCACATGGAGTGCCTCGATCCACCACTCACGACCTATCCATCAGGACTATGGATGTGTCCTGCACATCCAGAACAGTGGATTGTATGTTTCCCTCTCCCTTTCTTCTGCTCATGATTTTTATTTGTTAAAAAAATAATTTTATTTCTTCAAGGATGCCTGCAATTATGCTTTTGTGATGAAAGGAAAGTGAAACCTTCAAGCAACTCCCAAAAATTTTCCACCATTGACCTTTTGTATCAAAGATATACTGCTGTATCCATTATATGGAATTAGATCAAATTTTTTCATTTTTGCTTGACTTTCATGACTCAGTTAAATGGACTCTCATGGGAGCCCAATATGAAGTTCGATGTATATCATTGATTGAATTTCATGCATATAACCCACACCCTTAATCTTTGTGTAGATTTCTAACTTATGGGATCATGTTTTACTGATTATATATCAAAGCTATTGCTTATCATTTGATGCTTATAGACAGTGATAAAAATCATGTGAGATAGATAGAATATCAGAAGAAGCTTTCTCATTCAGATGTCTTGTATTTGAAGATCCATTTAATATGCCATTAGACAGACATGAGTCAATCATAGTCCATTTTTGGATGAGTGGCTGTGGCACTCTGCTCAATTAAGTATTCCACAAACTGCTGGTGTGTATGAATAAAGTTTTCAATGGCTACTTTTTTTTCAGGAGTTAATTATGTTTGCTGGAGTTTTTTTTGTGGTGCCTATAATCCCTTTTTTTCTAGGAAATAGATGAGGCTTAGTTTGGATTTCTTGCCTTGACAGGACTGCAACCTCCTGACATCAGCAAGAATCTCAGAGCGCATTAAGTTATGGAACAAATACTCAGGCCCACTTGATGAGAATGCAGTGAAGCTGTCCTTCTTACACCGAGTCCATCAGCAAAACCCTCCGTTCCGGCTGAAGAGGAAGATTTCCCCTCGCACAAGATGTGTTGTATGTTTTTACCTTCTCTCACCTTGCCTCCAATAGCTGAACCCTTGCCTCTACATTCCCTTTTGTGTATGTGCATTTGCTTATTGCTAATAGGTAAAGTCTAACTCTGTTATAGCATCATCGAAGGGACCAGGTAAAAACCGTCGTTATAACTGAGGTTGCCTTTATTGGCATTCCATTTTCCTGTTTTCAAAATTGATGCTATATAACTTTACAACTCCAATTTACATTGGTCATACTACACTAGTTTCAATTTCAAGATCGACCCACTAATTGTGGTGTTTGCCCTTCTTTGGACCTTGAACTACTTTATACTTTAGCAAGGCTTCATCAATGTCATCTCGACAGATCTAGAAAGTTTCTTGTTTTGTGATGTGTTCTCGTAAGCACAGATGAAGCTGTCACGATTTTCCCAAATTGTGGAAACAGATGAACAGATGTCCATGTTCATGAGTGACATTAGCTTTACTTTGAGCTCTTTCTATTAAACTAATCAAGTGCACTTTCCTTTCAATCATGAAGGCTTGCCTCTTTCGTTTTCCATTGGCCATGTTGTTAACAAGAAATGCAAATGGTGACTGAAGATAAGGCGATCTTAGTTACTGGGGATTATCCCTCCCTAACATTGCTCCAGCCACACCCACATGACTCTCAAGGAATGCTGAATCCAGGAAATATAAAGTTATGGCTCGCCAATGCTAATTTTTTTTATGACAGAAATTTCAGTTAAGAATGATGGATTAGGGACATGAACGTTGTCGATTTCATCAGTGGGACCTTCAATGGACTTTGTTATAACCGAGGTAAAATGTAACGTGCCTTATGGGCTCTACACCGGGACCTGGCGCTTTCGTCGTTATAACCGGGTTCGACTATATATACAGAAAAGGACTAATATTTCCATGTCCCCTGGGGAAGGTTCGCCAATCCAGCCTATCATAGAAAATCCAGTTTTAGCCATTGTTGTAAATGTATTCAGGGTGGGCCATTCATCCTTTGATCAAAATGTTTCATTTCTGTCTCCCCATTGAAGGTACCTGATCCAGTAAAGGAATACTATGCCAACCCACCAGTAATGGAACGAGGACCAGAGCGTCAACCTTTTCCATGTCCCTTTCGCCCTGAACCTCCAACCTCTCTTGAGCAAGAAGAGGTTAAGTTTGTTCATATTTGTTTCTTTTTCTCCACTCAATCTCCCAACTGAATTTTCAGTCTGGATGCTTGGTTTTCTTATTCACAAATGTTCACCATTTCACAGATTTAAATTGTCTGATCTGGTTTAGTCCCCACAGTCTCTGGCTAGTTTTAGAGCTCAGTAGTTTGTGTGGAAAATCAGTTTTTGGGGTTTTCCCTCTTCATCTCTCAAACCATGTTCATTCCAAGATGGCAGTGAGAGATGTTCATAGGAAGAGGAAAGAGAAGGGCTTGTATGAAGCTGAAACCCCTGTGAAACTGGCCTGTGCATGGCCTGGCAATTTTGTGTGTCTGTTGCAGTGGTTGAAAGGGGTGATTTGGCTCCAGAACAGTATTGTGCAACATATGACCTGCCCGCCAGGAAGACAGCCCAATGACCAAATCCCTGAACTCCCAAAGAATGAAACAGAGACAGAAGTGATGGACTTGGATGACTCAGGCCCCCCTCTTACAGACACCAGTGACCTCAGCTCAACTTCAAGGAACTCCTCAAACAGGTACATGACATCTAACTGTCTTGGGTGGAGTACTCCCATCGATGCATGATTGATGTTCAAATTTTGGGAGGGTTTATCGAGTTCTTATCAGTTGGACTGGTGCCAAAATCTTTCCAAGCGACTGATGTCCCAGTAATATGGTACAAGTAGGATCAATACTGGTACTGATACCAAGGCAAAAAAAAATTCAAATAATTCCCTGCACCTCTATAGTCCTTCACCGTTGACTCGTAGAATGCTTGCCTTTTAAGTTGGTTTCCTGACATTTCAAATACGAATCTACATTGACAGTTTTTGCATATTTCAAGAGCAGGACTCTATAGAGTAGTAGGGTAAACACCTTAGTTTTCGGCTACGCTGATACGACTCCCATAGGAAGTGGACACCCTGTGCGCAAACTGGGAAACACCAGTAATAGGTCCTCGTATGGGAAGATGTTGATAGAATGCTTGTAAACAGCCAGATTAATTAATTACGCTGGATTTAAGCCTCATTAGCTAACAACTGGAGACCGGCCAGAAACGGGGGTGCTTACTCTATTTCATAATAGTAATTATGCTTCTGAAGGAATAATTTTTGTCATAAGATGTTGACGAAGCATCACAAAGACTACCCTGTATGTATCAGGCAGGGTAAAGCATCAACCTCCGATATTTCCGCGTTTGGGATCGTCGTACGATGAGAACTCTTGGCGAGTCACGAGAAGTGGGGTGGAGAACATTCGCGACGTGACGAAGGTTGATTGTGTTGGCATCCAACCTCAGTGATACTGATCTTACTCCTCTTCCTGAATGGGAAATGCGAGTGCGGTTTCATGTAGGCTGTGCTCTTCTGAGATTATTTCCAATTACGGCTAACGAAGTGGCGCTAGGCGACGTTCATCGTTTGTCATGCGCGCAGCCTATGCCGAAAATCTTTGGATACGACCTCAAGGTGCATCCATACTTTTGAACGAAGGAGTAGCAATGGCAGCGTGGCAGAACGAACGCAGAGACATGTCGCCCGACGATTCCGTGAAAGAAGGAATTACGTGTCGATATGGATTATCGCTCCATGATCCCAGTGCGTCGTGGAGCCTCACTACGTCCATCGATTGCTGGTTTGATGATCAGCCTCATGTTTCTCTGCATGAGACTTGCAAGGGGGTGTGCCTTTCGTGGCATTTGCAGAATCGCTGTCGTCACTATTCAAGATGCAGTACTGTTTTTAATATATTAAGGGATCGCATCGTACTCTTCATCTCTCCATTACGGGGTTCTAGGCATTCAGAGATGGGAATATCTAAACATTCCAACCCAGGCTGCCAAGACGCGTATGCGATAAAAAATAATATTTGAGAGAGAAAAAAAAAGCCACGGCAGCATTGCCGAAAAGAGTGGATTGGCGTAGGAAGAAGTTCATCGGAAAAGACAGGATGAGAGGGCGAAATTAAAACATAGTCCTTAGAATTGAAATGCCCTCAGAGAAGCGCTGGAGTTCGTGCGTGAAAGAAAAATGGCCATCGCAGAAACATGAACGTAATACGTGATTCCTCGAACCACACTCCATGAAAGGATTCATGCGAAACGGACAGTCTGCTTCCTTCTATTCACATGGAATCGTGATCCGGAGGTCTGGGTCGGATGCGACGAGTGTGACGGCACAAAAACAATATGCGGGGATTCGCTTTCGGAATATGGCTTACGAGGACGTAGAAGATCTCTATTATCTGCGTCTCACATGTGAGTCCTTCAAATAGGCCCCACGCGGCGGACTCAGACATCAATGATAAAAAAGTTGCCTTTTTTATTATACAGTTATGTGCGCGTTTGCATTAGGAGGGCCTTTTTTATGTCTCGTTGACCAGACCCCAAAGAACCTGCCCTGTTGTCTTTGTGAAGAATAAACCTGGAACTTCATTTTTCTTTTTATAAGCAAAACAACAAAAGACCTTTGCCTTGTCGCTCGATGAGACCGACGTCATCGCTGACTGGTTTATGTCGTAAAACGATTGCATACCTATCGATCGAACTAACTCTTCGTCGTTCGGCAATCATACACTCTCCCAACAGATGCTACGTGCATAGCAGACGATATTGTCAGAACGGGTTGTTGGTGGGAGCTGATTTCACTGTTTGATTGGAGAATATGGTTCCTTCCATGGGGCAAAATCGCATTGCATTAACATCCATATTGGGATTGATGTCAATTTTATATCTTGATGGTCAGATTAAAGAGGAAATTAATCCTTCGGTAGGGTTTTACCTTAGAAGACCATAGATACTCTTCTTATACCTTTAATGGTGCTTCTACTGTCACCTTCAATGCCTTCCTGTTGGCCAAATCACTCTGGTCCCAGGCTGGAACCAGAGTGCACAACTCATGGAGAACTTGTTCTACTGGCATTGACAGCATTTGACTTGCACTCTCACATATGAAGTGCAGAGCCTTCCTGGTCCTCCATCCTATAGACCTCCAGGCTGCAAAGTCTTAAAGATACTCTTAGCCCATTTGTGCATATCATTTTTTTCATCATTTCCAATTGGGGATAGGTTATGGCCAAAAAAAAAAATTCCCATACAGAATAAATATTTATTTTATTGTATATATGTATATAAAACCTCACTTTCTACTCAAGTCTTCCATATTACTATTATTCCTCAGTGATTGATGTATGAAAGGTCAAAAGCTTACATGCATTTCCTTGGGAAAAGATATACCTAAATATGGCAGGATGTTCTATGCCATCATTTCATGCAGTCGCTGGAGAAGAGAAAGGAAGAATCCTACATATGTGACATCAATTTTTCATCTGAGTGAAGAGAAAAATATTTTTTTTCCAGTAAAAAAAAATCGAAATCCTTGACCTTAAATTTTCTTGAAGAAGAGATGCAAGTTAATAGTGGCATGCCTGATTTCATCATGCAATGCAGGTCACAGCCACAGAACCATGAACCATGATTGAAACAATCAATATAATATTTAATTTTTTAATATGGTCACACTTGAAACATCTGTTCCTATTCTTGGAAAAGAGACAGAGGGACCTTAAGCCAAGCTGTTTCTATTTAAGTATAACAGAAGGAATTGTGGGATACAGATGCAAATGAACCACTTTTAAATGACATGCAATGTGGTGATCCAGTTGCTTTCACCAAGGTCATGTCTGCTAGATTGCTTTTGCTGGAAATCCTTATTATCTGTTTGTAGTGCACATATTCAAGCCTTGGCTACACGTGAAGTGCGAATCTGACAATTTATATTGATAAGACAAGAATACATGTGGTATTTTTCTTTGTATTTCATCTTGCAATTCCACAGATATGTTCTGGTTTATAAGGCAAGGCAACATAAAAGGGAGGGGATAAGGCATGAGAACCAACTTGCATGTTTAAATGGGGGGGGTTCCTGAGGCATGGTTGCATTCTGCTTCTTCTATCATGTATGTAGAATCTGATAATGAAAATTACTTTAGTGCTACCCTGGGCTCCTTGTCAAATATGCCAATGACCAGCTTTTAGGCTGGAGCTTGTGTTAAATGAGAGGGTCATATTTGACCTCAAATGTCAGACTCTAAGGCAGGGGTGCCCAAAGTGTAGTTCACAAGCTTCATGCAGCACACAAAGTGCCTCAGGGAACATCCACTCTGGGCATCTCTGCTGAAAGCCATAATGGTTGATATTGTTATATCTCATCCCTCCATTTTTTCTCATTGTTTCAGTTCGAGATCATTGTTAAAGTCATCTCACTCAAATGACTGCATCCTTGATTCAACAATGAAAAGTGAGTCAACCTATTGCATTGGTTTCATAACATCATTTGCAATCATGGCTTTAACACGTTGGCGACAATGCGTCCTGATGCCAGGATGCAGATTTTTTTTCAATGAATACCCTCTGGAACTGTTGAGAACATTCCAGAAGATTATGATTTCGTAATTACTGATAAAAATTCCAAAAAATTCAACATTTTAAAAAAACTCGGCAAAAAAAAACGTTTTCTGGGACCATGCGTCCTGATGGCAGGACGCATTTTTTGACAAAAAAAATGTGCAGTGTCCCACGTGGCGGACCAGCAAAAATAGGCTGGTTGTCAACGTGTTAACAACTTATACCAATAATCAACCAAATATTCAGAGGTTAAAGTCAGAATGCAGAAACCTAATATAGGGGTGATAGAGGGGCTTTTTACCTCCTATGTGTGTCCAGGTTTTCTTAAAGGACTGTTAATGAGATTTCAGCATTTAAACCTAGGTCTGATAATTTGAGTTATCTACCTGGTTTTGACATTCTCATTGAAGAAGCAGACTGGTTCATCAGAAATGATGAAGTTTCAATGGTTGTACAAAGTTTGAGCAAGGTACTGGTTTTAGATTTGCCATTTTATGGACATTATGGGGCTCATAATAATGCTAACATTCCATTCAGTAGTTATTGCCATACATACTATATTCTGGGAATTCATTTCCAATGCTTGCCTCTCTCATTAAAAAATTAATTTAAGGATTTTTAAATGGAATTTCTTCATCTATTAATGATCAATATGAACAAAATTAGGTAGAAACTAATACCTTTGGAAGTGAATCTGGTAGGTCACTGATTTCAATAATGCAGAGCCATTTCAGATTTTTATGTGTATTTCAGATTTTTTTTAGGGCTGCTTGAGACTTTCGCCAACATGATTATGTTGATGTCAATGTCATCAAGAGTGTAATTTTCTGAGCGAAGTAGAATCCATGTGTAAATAAACATGAACTGCCAGAGTAATTGCAGAACTAGAGTGTTTTATCTGAAAAATAAACTAAACATTAACTCCATGAATTTTATTTCAGTATGTAAATACATGGTGCAGAAAATGAAATATTGCAATTTAAAAATCAAACATGATGTATCGGGAATTGGTCATGGCAGATATACCCATCTCGTCCACTGGACAGGTTAAAACATCCAAGTAATGTTTCTTGAGTGATGAACCCATTATCACATTGGGTCCATGCATCCATTTTGCATGAGTTGTTGACACTGGTAACCATGTCCAATCACAGGTGATTCCCTTGAAGCAGCAATCTTAGATCTCCAAACATCAACTGGGGTATCGCTGGAGAATTTGTCTTCAGATCTGGTGCAAACATTGGCCATGCAGAGGCTAAACCAACTATTGAAGAAGGTTGAGGAGAAGCCAAATCTTGATTCCGGCAGAACAAGTTGTCCCCAACCTGAAAGCACAACTGTCTCCTTGCGTGCACGTGCACTTCTCATTCCCATCTGCACTACTTATCTCCCACCAACAGTCATGTCCTATAGACACTTCCTTGTTGGCAACAGTGAGTCCACCCTTTTGTACTCTATATCATTATTGGCATCATAAATAAATCTTAAGTTTGCTGGAATCCTGGAAGGGGAAACAAAAAAGAGAATACTTATGTACTCTTATATATGATTCAGCAATTGTCCTTTGCTCTGAAGAGGTTATTTCACCTTGTTGAACAAGGTAGTTGAACAACATGTGGTAATACTGAAATAAAAGCTGATGTTATGCTGTGCACCTTTATGCTTGCTATTTTGAGGACATTTTGAAGAAGAGAGGTGACAATAGAATACCACTTCATCATAACTGGATAACAACATTTTCCCTTTTGTAGCATATACACTATATTACCTATATTACTATCACTATCACTATATTATATAGTATTTGGACAAGCCTCCCTCTCCTGTGGTCATGTGGAAGTTTGCATTACAGTAGTTCAAAAAGTTATAATGGTAATCTGCAATCTGTTATAGTCAGTGTTTGCCAGTATGGTGCATGGATTGGAGCTAATGAAGTTTGAAGTGGAATGATAGTTGGATGTCATGTCACCCTTTGTCCCAATACTTATGCTAATAAAGTGTAGAAGTGTGAGATGTTTGAGGTTATTGATCTTGAAATGCTGATGGATTCCTCTTTGCTATTCCACCAAACATTTATGAACCAGATTTTCTAGATTAACGCTTTCAGACACTATTTCTTCAGTACATTCAGGCATCAGGCCAGCAGACAGACCAATTGGTGCCTGAATAGGTTAAGCAGCCACCTCCTTAACCCTTCGGCATTTGGGGAGGTGGCACTTAACCATCCCCGCAGGCAGCTAAATCGACCCCCCTGGACTTGCAAAATATTAGGGCCATAGTTTGACCAAAGTGGAATATCAAAGGTAGATGTCCAGGTCAGTCTCGCAGTGTAAGTTATTCCAATATAAAGTTTCCTGGGTTCAAATCCAGTTAATTTAAAGTGGTTGTTATGGCATATATCACTGAAGAGGATTGTTATCTTATCACCAAATCACTTTTAATTTTATAAATAAAATAAATCCTTCCACTGCACCTGTTGGTATTTAGGAGATATGAGGGGGGATGAACCACATCCCAGACCTCATACTCGCCTAATTGACTTCCTGTGCCGCTTCCTACGACCGACACGGGTTCTAACGACATGTGACCTCCTATAGGTCACTATAAAGTGTGAGGTCGAAGGACTGTACAGGCTTGAGGTCTTTCAGGACAACGCCAGTTGTGCCTATGGTGATCGGAACGATGGTGGTCTTCATTCCGCACAACTGTTCTACTTCCACTTTCAGTTCGGAGTATTTCTCCAGCTTCTCCCTGGTTTTTTCCTAGAGGTTATCGGCTGGGATGCTAACATCTACAAGGAGGGCAGTCTTCTTCTCCTTCTTATAGATCGTATAGAAGGTTGCAGCCTATACTGCGGTCTGTAATTATAGGTATGTCCCATAGTATCTTGGTGGAGTTCTCCACAACAGACTCTGGCTGGTGACTTCTCTGGGACTTCCAGGCCAGCTTGCTTGGAGACACACCAGAGCACATATTTGCACACCTGGTCATGCCTGTACAAGTACTACCTTGGGGCTAGTTCGGGGCAGGCACTGAGGAGGTGGTGAACCGTTTCCGGTGGTCCATGACAGCATCTACAGCGGTCTTCCACATCCAGCTTCAGGATGTGCTTCTCGTAGTTCCGAGTTCTAATGCACTGGTCCTGAATGGCTAGGATGTTGCTCTCTGTCTCGGCATTCAGCAGTCCCTTCTTCAGCCAGTTATAGCTGACGTCCGAGTCGATC